CTGAAGGCTGTAATTTTATATTGCTTGTCATTATATGAAATATGTGGTAAAATTATCCCACTCCTGTTCTATGGGATGATGAAAGATCAAACGAAATTGTAATTAGTAAGCAATGAAATGACCACACTATGCAGATTAGCATGCTTGTTTCTCAAGGATTTTTTTTCATTCTTTGAAAGATGTTCTTGAATAATGTAAGACTTTCTTCTAGTAGATTTCATGGATAATCTAACAGTCTAGATTAATTTCCAAGATGGTGAAAGGCATCGAGGGCAGGACTTTGGAAGTGCAGCTTGGATTGTTAAACTCAGAAGAGAAGACTGAGAGGTGACCTCATCACAGTCTACAGCTTCCTCGAGATGGTCATTGGAGAGGGAGATGCTGATGTCCTTTCTCTGGTGACCAGTGACAGGACACATGGAAATGGTGTGAAGCTGCATCAGGGGAAGTTCAGACTGGACAATGGGAAAAGATTCTCCACTGATTGGTCAGTCATGGGAATAGGCTGCCAGTGGAAGTGGTCATGGCACCGTGCTTGTCAGAGTTCAAGAAGCATTTGGATGATGCCTTTAGTCATATGGTTTAGTTTTAAGTAGTTGTTTGAGGAGCTGGGTGTTGGTCTTGATGATCCTTTTGTGTCATTTTTAGCTTGAGAGATTCCACGATTGCATTTTTTTTCTATGCTTCTGCCACTTAGGACAGTGAATAAACCTTTGGTCTTAAATGCCATGGTTGTTCTTACATTTTTAGAACCAATCTACCTTCTGTTATTCTTGAGGGTATGAAGTCAGAATTTAACAGTGTTAAAGGGTTGATTCTTAAAAGTAGAAATCTTGGTTTTGTAGGACATTTGGCTAGCTGTTCATCAGAACTTTCTAACCTTTCATTTTCTCTGCTAGCTAATGTATTCTGCTGCTTTGCTGTGCACACACTCATAAAAATCAATAAAGCAGATTGGGAAGTTCGCTGCTGCTCTGGTTCTTCCTGTGTTTGTTGAGAATAATGATGTCTGTTCAGACAAATGTTACAATAATCACAAATTTGACGTGCAGCCTTGCTGGCACTACAGAAAAGTGCTTTAGAGAATTGGAGCATTTGACAAAAACAGAGGAAATTTAAAACTTATTTCACTGACAATCTTTAGTTTGTTCTACAACAGACTCTGAGGCTTTTTTAAAAGAGAGATTCATCAAAGCGTTCTACATGCATTTGTCATCAGAATTGTTGATGCAAAGAGTTAAACCTTGGATACAGCCATGTTCACCGGCTTATGAAACTCCACAGATCCCATAAACTAGAATCTTCTTTTCTTGTTGGAAGTTTAGATAGGCTCAAGGGGATGTTAATGAGGTACCTTGAAGATGAGTCTACTGAGGAATATTAAATATACAAAATCACATCTGTCTCAGAAAGTAACCTGAACTGAAAGTGGTTGGAGCATGGATGATAGCAGGAGGGGATGTTGTATGTGCTTGTCTTGTTCTTATTCTTTGCAATGCATCTTTTCATTGCTGCCTCTGCTGGAAGCAAGGTGCTGGTGAGGATCAATCCTTGCTCTGGTGTGAATAAATGAAAATGTCTTACTTCAAGTGTTTTGCATTCTCTTGAATAACAGTAATTTCATATGACTAGGAAGAAAAGAAGGGGCCAAAAGATTTGAACTGCTGATACTAAAATAACCATCCCTATGCCTTTCATTATGAAGTTCTCAGAGATCCATGCACCAGGACAAAAGTTATTTGTAAGGCTTCATGTGATTCATTGATAAAGTGCATTTTTGTGGCTGGAAATGGTAACTCTTTGGTTGGGGCCTAGCATAATTTTGCACTTTTTAATTGCTTTAAAGGGATTTAGTCTTAAAATACTCACTTGTGCTTCTTCCAGCACAGCATCTTCCAGGGTCCAGAATTCCTAAGGATTTCTTTTAATCTTCAGCTTTAGGAGTTTTAGTAAGAAAAAATTTGTTTTAGTAATGCCTTGATAGACAAAAGCATTCATAACTGTATCATTGCAATCACTGCAGCATTTCATTTCAATAGTTACAAGCAGCACTGATACCATAAAACAGATTTTAAGTTCATCAGGTCTGCTCCAAAGTTGACCTGGTATCTACGAGATGATTTTTGCTGGAAGCCTAAAGAACAGTTACACATTTCATTTTCTTTCTTGGTGACTTCTTTTTATTTATCTGTATTTGTCTTGTCCTGTTTAAGATTCTTGGAGATGAGCAGTCTTGTGTCCTTCACGTTGATAAAGAGGACCTTGTGTCTTATTTTGTCAAGGCAGTAAACACGTTATTCCTCGAAAATGGGGAATAGGTTTTAATTAATAATGGATTTTTAATTTCTGTTGCTTTAAAGTTGCTGATTGAGTTTATTGATATTGCTTGAAAGATCCTTAGTTTTACTTTAGTTGTTCCAGATTTCCTTCCATTGCTACCCTGCAAAGTCATCTGTCTACTTAACTCTTCCCTTGGGTATAGTCACAGCTTGATCAAATTTGTTGTGTATTCTCATACTCATTTCATGATGTCGTGTGAATTAACTTAGAAGTGTCACCTTCCTGGGACATGTCCATGCCAAAGGGTGTTGGCAAAGATCCTGGGCGATGAGAGGAGTTGATTGTCTCCTGAAGTTCTGATGTGGAAAGAAGCCAGTCAACCTGAGGGGAAGGGTTTTGTGTTGAAATCCTGGCTCTGAATCTCATATGCTGCTGGTAGATATCAATACAACTGCTTATTTAAAAATGATGTCAGAATATGAATACCAGTGTTTTTAATGCATTTGATCATGTGAAAAATTCCATCAACTCATCTAATCTACATGTTCTTTTTCATTCTAAAAGTGTCATCTACTTTAGCACTACAGTGATACAATGATTGCTGATTGAGAAGGAAAGGTTGCCTACTAAGCCAGAAGTGGTATTTTCTGTATCTCATGTTTGTAGCAGCAGACCTTCTTGACTTTTTGTGGCAACCAAGACTGCAATATGAGATTGGAAGACTTCAAGCTGCATCTTTTTAATGTGATCCTATTGTGATTGCAGCTCTGACTGGGGAAAACTTCCAGCCTTTCATGTGAAGCACACAAACAAATAGTGTAAAGTAGGGAAAAAACTCTTATTCAGGACTTTTTTTTTTCTGATTGTGATGTTTTCTATATAAGAGTGTAAGATTTTACAAGCAGTAGCAAAGCTTCATAGTAGTGTGGAAAATAGGTCAAAACTATGTTCCCACTAAGGAGATGTGCACTAAGGCACAGACTTGTGATCAAATATATGATTCTAGTTGGCATGAAGTTTGGCATTTATTTTAATCTCTGGAAAACTGAATAGAAACTAGCTGTGTTTCTGCTGAGTGTGTATATGTGGATATATATAAATCCTATATTTTTCTATGCAATTATAGTAGGGACTGTATTAGATGTGTTGGAATTCTTAATGCTGGACTGAGTAATTGAAATTTGGCATGCCAACTGAAATGCAAATTTTTGTATTTTCACATGATGATTGAACTGCAGATTCTGTATTTTTAACGTTTAAAAGGTTTTGAAAAGAGAGAAAAATAAATGCTTCAGCTAAAGATGAATATACTGAAACTGGGTCACTGGGTTCCTGTGATTTGCAACTGTTACACAAATCGGAAAAAGTTGTGTCTAACTCCATCCTACTAATTAAATGTGTAGGAACAATCCATAAAAGTATTTAAACAGTGATATAGGTCCATATGGACTTGTGAGTCTCCTTGTGTGGAGCTCAGTGCAAGATGAATTTTAAATTGTGAGCACCTTACCAGCTTACTAGAGCTCTTGCCCAGCACTAAGCATAGCACTTAGGAAGAAAATATATATGACAAAATTATGAGAAATACTTTCTACTCACATGTTCTTGTGGTATTTAAAACCTGCTTTTGGAAGAAATCCACTGCTGTTGTTGTCCTTTTTTAAAAGCGTGCGTCACTAGCATTATGTTTGATTTCATAAAAATAAATCTTTAAAATAGAAATGGTGATTTTTAAGATCAAGGGTTGAGCACTTTTATCAAACAAGATTAGCAGTTCTATAGAAAGGCTTGGGAGGGATTTATTCTCTGTGTATAATCCTTTAATGATATCCTGTGTTACAAATTCATCAGAAAAAAATATGAACTGTTCCTTTGTTTCTGGCATTTCAAAGACAACTCTTTCTCCAGAATCCTCATGAGCCAGAATCTGGGTTGATTTATAGACTATTCTTTTCAAAAATGTAAGCAGTATGCAAAATCATTAGATTAATAAGTATAACAAAGACCAGGGGTTTCAGTCACATTTATGAGTTCACAAATTCTCTTTGCTTGGAATGCATATGTACAGCCAGGATGAATAATTGTCCAGTGCTGGCAATTTAGATGATCTAGGCGTTTCCAGAATGTCACAATTTGTATTTTCACCAATGAGTAATTTTTTAGAATTATTTCATCTATGAGAACTGAGTGATTGATAAGATTGGTAGTCCCTCAAATTTAGTCTCTGATGCAAAAAAGCAACCCTAGTCACCCTAGTGAGAAAGGCAACAGACTCACTGCTGTCTGTGCTGTCTGTGCTTTAAATGCAGAGCTTAGGAGATGTGCTTTTGAAATAAGTGTGTCTGTGTTCAATGCACTGTTTTCCAGAAAGATATATGTTTTCTTATGTATTATTATTACTATTATTATTGTATAATAATAATATGAAGTACTTCCTACACAAACACTCAATGATCATGTCATCATCCAAGAGTGTGAATTTTAATGCTTTTCTGTGAAGTGCAGATATGAGATAATTATTCCTCTCTGTTTACAAAAAACTTATCAGAGGTAAGACATAGTTACATGTGTGATGCATTCTTGTATTGCTCCAATATCTTAAATAATGAAAGTGATTTTCAAGGACAGCCACCTGCAATGTTTATTTTACTTCATTCTTTTGAAATGTAACTCCAGAAGTAATCTAATAATTTTTTTTTTATTTGTTTGTTTTTCCCCAGACCGATCTTGATTATGTTAACAGTGTTGTTGCAAGCCTGGAAAGAGAGTAAGTTGTAGTTTTAATCGGGGATTTTTTAGTTTATTGATGGTAAACTAAATCAGATTGTAATTAGCAATTAAACATGTTCTGGAAATAAGGGATCATGCCTGATTGTTTAGTGGAATTTTGGACTTTTGAAAAAAAAGTAAGACATGACAAATTAAGAGGCGGTGATTCAGTCAGTTAAACTGTAAAACAGAAGTGGGATTAAATTATTTGATACACCATAAACAGATGGGATTGTTTAAACATGAATGGAAATTTGTGACATCTGTGTTAGGGCCTTGTATTCTGTGTATTCAAAGAGAACCACAGAAAAAAAACCTAGGTTCTGACAAAATGCAAAAAACATGTTTAGAATGTAGTTTGATTCTGATTGGCAAGAGGCAATAGTGCTCTGAAGGACATGCTAAGGAAAACAATTATTTTTTCTATATGCTGTTCTCTTAAATGCCTCATTTGAGCAAGTCCAGTTACAATAACTGTTCCAACAGAAAGCCAGCAGGAGCTACAGGACTCAGAATCTCTCATGTGACTTCAGGATGTTTCTATTGACAGGTTTTCTACAGAGATCAATTCTGGCTTGGTGGAAGTAATAGCCCCTCCTGCAACATATTATCCTGACTTGACAAACTTGAAAGAAACATTTGGAGACTCAAAAGAGAGAGTGAGGTAGGTTTATTCCCCCAGATCTTTTCCCATCTCCTCCCACACCCACACTTGGATTGTTTACAAAACGGCAAGTGGGATGTGAATTCTTGAAATGTTTTCTTACTGTAATTCTTGCAAGTGTGGGGATGCTAAAAGTGCTCTGTGAATCCATCTCATTCCTAGCTGCATGCTGCTCTGTGCATGATCAGAGCCTATGCTTGGTTGGATCCATTTAGTATTAGATTTTGGGAGGAGAACTGAGACTTTTGATATACTGTTATTCCTGTATGTAGACCCTTTGATTTGCTGTTTTTCTTCATGAAATGCAGGGTAAAACCCTGTTTTTTGTTTGAACTAATGTTGAATTACGATTTTAAATGCACATGTGTTTTTAGTGAAATGTCAGGTAGTTGTCACAAAATCAGGTTCAAATTAAACAGACAGTTTGATGTCTGTATAAAAGCATAAGGTGAAAGCTTTGTTACTATTTTTTTTTTCAGACAGTGGATTTCCTGAGAGAACAGTGCCAAAAGCAGCTGTCCTAACATTTCACTAATGTGTCATTCTTTGTAATGAAATTTACTTTTATATTGCCAGCATGTATTGTATTTTTTCTTAAACCTTAAGCTTTCAATTTAATTTCAGATGGAGAACAAAACAAAACTTGGATTATTGTTTTCTTATGATGTATGCCCAGAAAAAAGGGGTTTATTACATTCAGGTAAATTTCTCTTTCTTATTTTGAGACAAGTTTACAGATGAGTCTCCAGAAATTAGGTTCTTGGACATATCAGAAGGACCTTCACAGAACAGGGAACTTGATCCCATCATTTAAAGAGGGTATTAAGTATGGTGTTTATGGTATATGGGGAAGTAATTTGAGGAGGACACTGTCTCACTGTCTCTGAAGTAGAAAGTAACTTATCCTATGTCACTTATCTTAAGATGCCTAGCAAAAAAAGTGAAGGAATCCAAGCAACTTAACTACTTGTCCTTAAAATGAATTATTGTAGAGTTGCCTAGGCAAAAAAAAAAAAAAAGGTCAGCATAGTTTTTCGTGGAAATTAAGCTAAAATCTATTTTTATTTTCTTTTGAAAGTGCAGTGTCACTTTAATACTACTGTTGTGTATACACATGGGATTTTTTCTTTTTCTTAAGAGAGGTTTCCAACAACAGAGTTAAGCAGTTTTTCTTCAGTTTAGCTCAGTTTAGGAATTGTTCCTATCATGTGTTTCTGCTTTGAAGTAGAAGTCTTACCTACAGGTATTTCAGATTTAGTAACTGCATTAATGATCTTTATTAGATTTTGTGCCTTGGTCCTTAGGGTGTAAAGTCCCACACATCTCATCTAGTTTTCACTTACTATGAATTAAAGGGATTGTAGCACCCCATGTTGGCAGTTCTGCAGCCTGGACTAGGTGCTTATAGACCATGCACCTGTGCTTCTGTTGGACAGGTGAAATTAATCCTCCCTCTGCAGATATTTGTCTCTTAGCCTCTTGTCTCAGAGGAGAAACTTTCAGTGCTCTTACATTTGTGAGTAAACAGTCACATTTGTGTATAAATTATACAGATATCAAACTTCTTCTGATAATGCCACTTAGACTAACGTTATTTCATGGATGATTTTTCTTTGAACAAAGAAGCTGGAAAAACAGTGTTCTAAAGTAAGAGGTCGAGATATGTTTGTGGATCTTTACTACAGAAGGATTCTGTATTAGTTCTCCCCAAATAGACAGACTATATGTATTATATATATATTATATCCCTGTAATAGTTATTCCAGGCTGTGGCATCTATGTTTTATATCAGTGCTAGTATTAGAAATACATGGCATGTGTTAGCAATGTATTATAAGTCAGTATTTCCTAGTTGTACTTTTTTTCTATTGCTTTGCTTGTGCTTTTTTTTTAATGTTGATATCACTTCTACTTTCCTCCAGCTTGAGGATGACATTGTTGTCAAGCAGAATTATTTCAGCACAATAAAAAATTTTGCGCTTCAGCTCGCTTCTGAAGATTGGATGATTCTAGAATTTTCTCAGCTGGGTTTCATTGGTAAGAAAATGTTCAGTTTTGCAGCTTGAAAGTACACATTCATACTCAGACTGTGAATTAATAGTGATCTGACTTCAAAGCAATCTTCTTTGTACTGGAAATATACCAAGAAGTAGAAATTCATTGCCTTTTTTAGGAACTGTGGTTTAGCTCATGGTTGTTGCTTTTGCCCCTCATTTGCTTCCTATACTTTCGTATGACAGAGGCAAACTCAAACTGTTAGAAGAGAGGGCATTTCTATAACCAAAAATTAATTTTTAAAAATACTAACAATCAAACTGCAAGGCATGACTGATTTTTGATTAGCTGCCATTAAAATAAAAATGTAATTAAGACATAACTGACTGAAGTAAAGAAAAACCATTAAAATTAGCTCCACCTAAAATAACTCCATTGGTATTTCTGCCAAAATTTCCAAGAATTAGCAGGCATCAGTTTGTTGCAAAGCCTGTTCTATCTCCATCTTTCTACTTCATGAAAGAGAAGTTATGACAATCTGCTCCTTCTTAGATGCAGTCAGAGTCTGTCATTTGCAATGAGCAACAGTGAGAGGAGTTAGTGCAGGATCTCGGGTTGTTGTAGGTTGACTGCCAGGGTACTCTGGAAATTGGTTCTTTGCTCTTACACTAATATCTTTTCATGGAGAGATACTAGACTTAACAGAAAAGCAATGACAGAGAAGTTTTGAAGGGATTTTAAAAATCAGAAGGTTATTTAATTATTGGACTGATGTGTCATGATCTTTCTTAAAGCAGCAAGCTGGAGGTATACAAGGAAAAATCAAAAGCTGGGGCAGGCTTTGGAGATTTTTGTTGTCAACACAAACGATTCCAATATGAAGGCTGTAAGTTGAGTTCAGAACAGAAGGAAAATCCTACAGATGAAAGTGCAGCCCTGAGTTCTGTCATTCTCTTGGAAATTCTTGTTGCTCTCTTTCCTTTATATCTACTTGCCAGAGAATGGCTTCATTTTTATCTCAGTGACCCATAATGGTTGTACTGAGAACTGAGAATGTTTGCACTCCTTGAATAAGTGCTGTCCTGTTTCCAGCTCAGCATCAGGTGTGCAATAGTTCCCTGACTTTGGGGGTCTCAGAGCTTCCTGGAATAGAAAGGAAAGCAGTAATTATCCCTCTTAAATGCTATGTTAGGGTACAGAATGATACTTTGTAGACTTCCCTGCCCGTTTAACCTACAGAAACGATGGGGAGGAGGAAAGGAAATGGGCAGAGAGAAGTCTCCTTGTACACCTGGCCATCACCTAACTGCTTTGGGCTACCATCAGAGATACACTGTTGCTGAGATAATTATGGGATTGGTTCTGAGACTTTAGAGGTGGGAGAAATAGGAAATTACGCTGCCTAGCATGGAAAAATAAGAGTTTAAGTAGCTTACTGACATCTTGCCCTAAATGAACTTCCCCTTGGTTGGGGAACTCCTTACGACATTGTTATGTGTTAGGAGGCACTGGTTGAATGCTGCATTTGATAAGACTGTTTCTACTGTTGAACAGTTAAACCCTAACCCAGACTAAGCCCACAATTTGAGTTTTAGCTCCAGTCTAATTGCATTTTAAGTGTAAATTCTGTATGAAGCTCCTGGGCTATAGAATTTACATTTATTCTACATTTGCCTGATTTAGTAGTTGAGTGTGCTTGCTTACAAATTGCCACTTTGTAAGAATGACATACCAAATGTGCATAAAACCAACTTACACTTGAGGACATACACTGTCTACCCCGTGTAGTTGTATTTCAGGTCACTTAACTTGCTTAGAATTTGTGTATTTAACCCCCCCCTTTCTGTTCTCTGTGCTGTTGTAGAGGGCACAGTGTTTAAAACTGGTGGGCAGAGAGACAGTTCTCAATACTGACATTTGGCTTAATCAAAAGCACAGCTGTTTAAAAATATCTTGTTTTTCTACAGTCTGTATACTTTTGGGCAGTGTGGGCTCTGAAAGTAGCTGCAGTTAAATTTAGTTTTTAGCTCCTGCTGCTTACATCCCTGTTCTTTGTTCCTTGTATCATATTTGTTTGCCTCCTTTTAACTAGACGATATCAGTAGAATTTCAGATGCATTTAGCTATGGCTACAAATCTTAACGTTGCTTTTCTACCTAGAAAATTAAATTAGATTTTTTTCTTCTTCCAATATAGCTATTTATCCTGTTCTTAAGTTTTGAGGGAAAAATTAGTATTCATAAAAGCAACTAAAACTTTTGGCTCTGGTACACATTGGTGTGCTATAACCATAAATTGCTTGGAAATTTTAGACAAGTAATGTAGATTTGCCTCATCTCTGCTATCCCTTTATGGATCTTGATGCAGACTGATACTGTGGTAATTTGGTAATGGAGATACCTTTGGGAAGAGTAGTTTGTAGCTGGGGATCAGTTCTATGTGTAGGTGTCCAAGAATGTAGAGCACTCAATTCACAGAATCATAGAATGGCCTGGTTTGGAAAGGACCTTAAAGTTCCAAACCCCTGCCAAGGGTAGGGACACCTTCCACTAGAGCAGGTCACTCAGATCTCCATCCATCCTGGCTGTGAACACTTCCAGGGATGGGCCATCCACAGCTTCTATGGGCAAGTGTGTCTAGATGCTACTGATTTAGAAATAATCTCTCTAAGGAGAGGTGTGGCTGATTCACTGTTAGCTGTTGGAAACCTTGATTAGCTTACAAGTATGCGAGGTAAAATGTGGGATTTTTTGTCACAGTGTATTTCTGAACTGAAAATCTAATTTATGCAAGCGCTACATGAGGAAGTGGCAAATGTAGCTATTTAGGCTGACAGCAGGATTATAGAATTCTGTCACCTCTGCCACGGAACAGACGTTGCTTCCTTTGGTTTTTTTTTAATCCTGAAAGCATAGTCTTAAGTGCTGTCAAGTATCTAATAAATAATGGGTGAGATGCATGCTGTTTCCTTAAGAAGCTCTGTGGAAGGAGATGTATCTTTTACTCTTCTAGATTCTTGTTTGCACTGCAAGACCTGTGACATGATGTAGGAAAGTCCTACTAGCTTTTTATGAGGAATAATGATTTGTCTTCCAACTGCCTGTGAGCTGAAGTGTTTTCCAGGGGAACTGCAATCTTTGCACTGTAGCTCTAATGTCAGCTGTGACAAATTTTTAATGGAGTGGTCTGAAATGGCCTTTTGGCTGTCTTATTGTGCCCTGATGTTTTAAGGCCTGTTGTTCTGTTTAAGTTGTTCTGATTGCAGTTTTGCTCAGTCTGTGCACATAGTTGAAGTTTGGGAAAGAGTAGATCAAGACAAATATTTGAGCTTTAAATAACTTCAAAGGGATTCTGGTTTTAATGCCAGCAATTTGCATATCATTAACAGAGGAAGCATTGAAAACATCAGCTATAGCTAGAATATGTGCTTGCAGGTGTAAAATTATTGTTGGTGTAGACTCAATATTTGTGATGCTCATGTGGAGAAATTAAAATGAGTGATTTAGATATTTGCAGTTCAGAGAACTAGAAAACAAAGTGTTTCATTTTGTGCGTGCCTTGTGTTTGCCAGCAAAATACTGAGGGCCAGAATAATTCACTAAGGATGGTGTTTGAAAAATGAATAGAAGTCTTCTCAGGGCACAGTAAACCAGAAAGTGTTCCACAGGTTTGTTTTTTTTTCAGTCCTGGTCATCATTTTTGTCAATATAGATTAATAACTTTGAGAGAGTCTATATCTTGTATTCCTAGGGTTTTATGGAGCAAGGTTTTACGTTTTTCTTGTAATTCTTTCAAATTTTGAAGTTCCTTCACAATGGTAGGTTGTATGCACCCAAAATCCAAAAGCTCTGAAGTTATGTCAGCAGAGTCCTGGATTTATGTCTGTTCCCATGTACTGTATTGTGCAAGATGAGCCATTGCTTCAATTCTTTCACAGAATTTGCAGTTTGAGGCAGTGCATGTTCACTGCAGTGTTTTGCTTAGGTCTCTTTCTTTGACTTGATGGTTTTTGGCTGCATATTGGGGATGGCCAGTGGGCAAATCCATAGGTTGGATTTGGGTGGTGTCTCAGTGCTTCTGTGGCTCACAGCACTTTCCTCATATGCTGCTGCATGGGAGCTGCAGGACAGAAGGATCTCAGCAATGCTGCTGCTTGTTCTTGGGCTGTGGCTGTGTCCTCAGGAAGCCAGGCTGCTCTTGCTTAGGAGAGACTAGGCAAGGGCTTGGTTGATTTGGATTCAGAGGGGCTGGGTGCTGAATCTGTACAGTAGGAGCTGTACTGGGCTGGTTTCTATTACAAGGACTAGGTGTGGCCAGTCAAGGATCCAGAGCTTTGAAGACCTGTTTTACCAGAGACTTCACTGCAGAGCTCTGTTTTTGAGCTGCTGTAGGAAGACTGTTGTGATGGGAAAAAAGGGAACATGGATGCATGGCAGAACTGCTGTGTCAGTGGTATCCTGAGACAGAAATGACAGATGAGTGAGGCAATATTATACAAGAGGGCGAGGGGCTGGGGCCAAACTGTGCTGAGCTGTGTGTGGAAGGTGATGGCAGCATTTCAGAAGGTGGTGTGTGGATGTCTGTCCTTGGTTACTGAAGGAGGACTTGTCTTGGATCAGGATGTTTCCTGTCCATCTTTGCTCCAGTGTTCATTGTTGAAAGTGTTCACTGTTGAATGCTTCCATGGTGCAGTGCAGTGTAATGCAGAGAGGCTGCTTGGGTCTAAAAATGCCACTGTAGGGACAGCCAGCTTACCTCACTTATTCTGACTAGCTGCAGTTGGATGTATCAGCATGGCTTGGTTGGTTGGTTGATTTGTGGGTGGTTGGTTGGGTTTTGTTTGCTTGTTTGTTTTTGCCTGGTGCACCCTGTGACATCCCTATGGTAATTATATTATTCCCCAAGTCTGGGATGGTTGACTGCATAGTGAACAGTAGAGTGCCAGCCTAGAGGAAACTGCCTCTGAGCCTAGACAAGTTTGCCAGATGGAGATAAATAATTCATTTATAACCTCTTTCTATTTTATGTAAAATTAGGATAACTTAAATTAGGGATAAGAGTGAATTCCTATTCTTACCTTCAGTCTTGTTCTCAATTTAGTTAATTGTAGGATCCTGTACCTTCATACCAAATTCTAAGTGACATGTTCTGTAAGAGAGGACAAGACAATAACCTGTATGTTCTTCAGAAGATGAGCTAGTCAAAGGAAAAAATGTCAGTGTGATTCTTCTGCTCTGTCCTTGGGTAGAGGAAGAAAAGGATTCTAGAGCATCATGGCTGTGTACAGAGTGTGGAAGAGGATAAACTGTCTCTTCAGTCTACTTGCATTGAGATTAGGGCAATATTGTGAGGATATTTATGTCTTCTGGCTCTCGTATTGTGCATCTCTGTGACACCACATGGAAAGGTGCACTTCCTATAGAAACAGATGTGACTGACAGACTGCCTCAGCAGGTGTCACCTAGAAGTGATGGTTTCAGTCCCATAAAAATCCCAGAAACATCTGATAAGTCCCATTTTTAGCTGGTGTTTTATTAGGGCTTACCATATTTTTCTCTTCTCCTGCCCTATGCCATTGAAAGCAGTAGGCAGAGATGAATCACCAGGAAAATTGGGGTCTGTTTATTTGGAAGTGTGACAAGCTAAAAGCTGTTATTCTGCATGACTATTTTACACAACATTTAACTAATCATATAATTGTTTCCTACCCATTTTTAAATATTTACTTCCACAAATAATGTTAAATAATGTGACAATATAGTGTGTAAATACTAACAATGTACTAAGAAAAATAATATCTTTCTTATGTCATTTAAAACTAAAGCTTTTAAATTGTCCCTAGCTTAGCAGGAGTTGTCACTTGTGTAGTGGGAGTTTCAAATTTTGGTTACAGAGTATTTTCATGTGGAGATACCTATTTGAGGACTTCATTGCAACAGACACTTAAAAATGATGGCAATATTTTTGCTTTGTAAAGGGCTCAATGAAAAGTTCCTGTAAGGGACAACTTTGATATAGCAATGTCAAATCAATTAATGTTTTCAGCACATATATTTTTCCACCTCAGTGTGTAAATTGTCTACTATAATAAGTATAGCATCATTCTAACAGGTAAAATAATTGGTACTTTAGTCAGATGCTTCTTCCATATTTGTTGCATGGCATAATGATGTAGTCTAACTCAGACACTCCAAACTCAGAGTTTCCATTGAGTAGTCTTTCATTTGCTTTGTCCTTATCCAATTTCTCACAAGTCATAAAGAAAAGAGATTGCATCAGACCTGCTTTATGAAAAAGGGAGGGCTGTCCCAGTGATCTCTTAATGTCTACTCCAGCTGGTTTTCCTAAGAGTAGGAGAAAATATTAGAACCTCTACCACTTGTGGAACTTGTTATTTAGAAAGCCTAAGGAGGCCTCTTCACAAGTGGAAAAAAACCCTCAGAACATTTCCTGTGCCTGAGTGCTGTGTGTCAGTGTGTTGTACAGGACTCCAAAACATGGAGAGACAAGAGACTTGCATTGGAAAAGAGCTTCTGCTGGCCTCGGATCCATTGATGCACACATGCCTCAAGAGCCTAGCCCTGTTTAGTCCAGCACTGCCCACATCTCGGCAACATCTGCAGAACTGAATCACTTCAGCTGGTGCCTTCTGAGAGATTTATTGTTACATGATGTCTTTCTTCCTTGCCTTGTCCATTGTAACCTAGCAAAGACTTCAGACTTCAACTGCAAACCTGGTGATGTTTTCTGAATCTAGCTTGAAATCTGGAACAGCCTTTGGGATTTAGCTGGCATGTGGTCATAGAATCATTTTGGTTGGAAAAGGCCTCAAAGATCATTGAGTCAAACCACAAACTCAGCACTGCCAAATCTACCACTAAACCATGTCCCCAAGTGCCACATCTACGCATCTTTTAAGTACCCCAGGGATGGTGCCTTAAGCATTCCTCTCAGCAGTCTGTTCCAATGGTTCAGTGAAGTCTCTGGTACAAGCACTTGTCAGTCTGTCTTTAGCCTTGGAGTGCCCCATTCCCAAATGTGTAGCAGTGTTTTCATAGAAGGCATCTTTTTCAAGTGCTGCATTCAGATTGATACAATAGCTCTGTGTATTGGCCACCTTTCTCTTCAGACACCTCTACTGCCAGAGAAGTGTATTCCACAACCTATAGGTGACTGCTCATGTTGGTATAAAATAGACTTTCTTTGTCAACAGTAAGTTTCCTTCTTTTGCAAAGACCTCCTTTAAGCCTCACAGTCTGCAGCATTCCCAACAATCCTTTTGCACAGTGCCACCCAGAAGTCCTGCTGTTGGCCATGCACTGCAGAAAAAAAATCTGGTCACTGTGGGATGTCTCTTTTTGAGTTGCATTGTCTCTGGATATGTTCTGGTAGCTTCCTTCTTTCACTTTGATTTCCTGCCCAGAAGTTTTTGAAATTAGTGATAGGTGTTGCATCTCTGCTTTTGGTACCTGCAGAAGCTGAAATTGTGTGACTGGGCAGATAGCACTTGCAATACTCCTTGTCTCAGGTGCTTGAACATACACATGACATGGGGAATAATAGATGCCAATCCATAACTCTTCATTCTCTTAATTTTTCAAACTGACAACTTCTATTCTTAAGGAGACTGTCTTGTGGTACATTTAGCATACACTGAATATTTTGATAGCACCAAGATATATGACAGCAGATTCTTGTTTGAATAGTTGTTTTATTTAGTTGAAAGCTATGTAACTTTTAGTAACACTGAAGTTTCAAGTTGTTCAGTGCTAACATTTCTCGTCTTGGCACAAATGTTATCATCTGGTATCTCATTGATTTCAAAAGACAATGTTTCCTCTAATCTAAAGTAATTCCAGTTATTCTTAATGTCACCCACAGGTAAAATGTTCCAGTCACCAGATATCACTCTTATTGTAGAGTTCATATTTATGTTTTATAAGGAGAAACCTATTGATTGGCTCCTGGACCATATCCTCTGGGTGAAAGTGTGTAATCCTGAGAAAGATGCTGTAAGTTTGTTTTTTTATTATAAAGCTTCTAAAATGTTTTCATGATGATGAATGAGTTGATTTTTGTCAGCTGAAAGCCAGCTTAGTGTACAGTGTGGTTACTGCATATTCTGTAAGAGTCTTTCTTCCTGCCAAGATTTTTATCTTGAAGAGAACTTTAGAGGGGCACTTCTCAGGGGCATTGTAGCTGTTACTGCTTTTGGAGATTTTGGAGATGGATGCAGTAAGGATAAAAAGCAAAAGTCAAGTTAGATTCTACATGTAACAGACCTAAAATAAACTAATACACGTAACCACTGCAGAATGTCACTACTTGGATAGCACTCTTGGAGAAAATTCCAAATGGGAAATAAACTTTATATTTTAGTCCTTCATTTCTCAAGAAACACCCTTGCTGAATAAACAGGGTCTGTGCAAGAACCTTGAACAGTATTGCATTTGCACAGCAGTCTTAGTAGATTTCTAGAATGAAAACAAGAAAATGTGGATAAATAGGCCTAGGTTCTTACCTTGTGTTGGTTTTTACTAATGTGTTGTTTTGTTTTTGTTTTTTATTCCACCCTTACCTTTTTCCCCCACCATTTCAGAAACATTGTGATCGACAGAAATCTAACCTACGGATACGCTTCAGGCCTTCTCTTTTCCAGCATGTTGGCCTCCACTCTTCTCTAGCAGGGAAGATCCAGAAACTCACAGTTAGTAGACAATATTTCCCTTCCTTTACAGAGCAGGCTGATTAAATAAAAAACATTGTGGCAATGGAGAACACAGGCATTTTCTTGTATTGCATTTTCAAGCATGATGTATATTGTGCCAGCTGGAATTAAATCTGATACAGACTGGTTAATATAAAGTAGAAGTTCTAGTCCAGCTTATTTATGTGAATTTTTGCTAGGGGATATTTTTTCTAATTTTTTTACTTTAATGGCATGTCCATATTACTGAGCAGTACAAGATCTGATGCACCCAAAATGAGTAATGCATTCATTTTCCATTTTATGTCAATGTTTGTTTTAAGTGTAACCGCTTGGGAAAGGAACATAATAAACAAGGTTGTCTGACCAGCATGATGTTTGTCTGTCTTTCAATTAGGATAAAGACTTCCTGAAACCATTACTGCATAAAATCCACGTGAATCCACCTGCAGAGGTTTCGACATCTTTAAAAGTCTACCAGGGGCATACGCTAGAAAAAACCTACGTAGGGGAAGATTTTTTCTGGGCTGTCACACCAGTTGCTGGAGATTATATTCTTTTTAAATTTGACAAGCCAGTCAATGTAGAAAGGTTAGTAATTACTTGCTGTTGGTCTCATATATGAAGTTGCTTGTGCCAAGAATGCTTTAAGGTAGAATTTGGGGCTGTCATTATAGCCTAAAGTGAAATGATGTAGGACATTTGGAGTTCAGTTGAAAAGGTTATCATTACTGTCTTCCCTCTAATTCTTTTACTATGGTAAATTTTGTCTTGCTTTTAAAATGTTTTTTTTTTTTCGTTTAATCTGGAGCCTTTTTGAAAAGGCAAAGCCAGTGCTTCTCTGACGCAGAGAATTTTTAAAAAGCCAGTTTGGTCCCATTTGTATCTGGTTAATCTGTTTCTAATTAAAGAGCAATTGTACAGCTTGGTATGTGGTACAGTGTGTTGTGCCCTGTGGCCTTGGTCCCTTGGTTGTCCAGATCAGAAATCTTGCTGGAGCGTATAAAGATGTCCCCAGACCTGAAAGCTGGAGACTCTGAAGGGCAATATTTTAAGATGTAGCATTAGGGCTTGAAAAAAGTCAGTGTGCTAAGATTCCAGGTTGACCTACTTAAAAAATATTAAAATGCAACAAAAAAGAAAGGGGGTGTGTGCTTTCAAAATACAAATATCTGAGATTTGCTGAAGGACTAAAGGTGACTTCTTTTCAACTACTGGTCACATTAATTAAGGGTAATTGAGTTAGCATTGTAGAGATTAGTCATCTTTTAGTTTTATTGAGACTCATTTGCTGCTTTGCTGGCTACTGTCTTGCCAACATAGTAATTCAAGATTTATAAAATACATGGTTTATTTAATACCTAGTTAAGTATTATTATGTTAGTGGATTCCTTTTCTCCTTACTTCACACACCTTAGTGGTTTTTTTTTTGGCGGGGGCCAATACCTATAGCCTGGTAGAACAAAGTTTCTTTGAATCAATTTGACTGGATGTTTTTCTTGGGAAGGAGACCTTTTTCCTGTCCTGAACTGAATCCAATTAGTCAGCTTGTGTACCTTGGTGCATAATCAAAAGCTAAGTCTTCACCTTGGCTTAGCACGACAGTGAAGATCAGTAGTTCCCTTGTGACTATCTTGTTCCAAACTAGTCCGACCTATGAAACTCAAGGTTGTTGTTGTTTGAGATGTAAAATTACTCTCTCAGATGGTTGCTATACTTTAAAAAACTTCCCTGGTTAGCTTTCCAAGGTGCATGTGTGGAGGAACACAACTGCCATACCTCCTTGGATTAAAGGCAAAATATTTTTTTCTGTGCCAACACTTGAAAAAGTACATTTTTTTTATACCTGTTGCCTTAATGCTGAAGGGAACTAGAGGAATGAGAGAGTACTAATTATCTGTGTAAAAGGTGGGAAAATAATGTTCATTGTTGTGCCCTGGAAAATTGTAGCCAGGCCTAAGGTATTTGTCCACCTGCTGTGTTAAGAATAGTCTTAGCTGTAAAGGATTATATGTTTTGGGTTTTTAGAGGGAAGAAGTGGAGTTTTTCAGGGTTTTGTTTTATTTGGTTTGGGGTTTCTTTCGTTTGTGAGTGTTTGTTTTGGTGGTTTTTTGTGGGGGGGAGGATGTTGTTTCTTGTTGGGTTTTTTGCTTGGTGGGTTTTTTTTGTTGTTGTTGTTCCGGGGGGTTTTGTGTTTTTTTGTGGAGGTTTTTTGGTTTTGTAGAATTTTTTGTTTGGTTTATTTGAGCTTTTTTGTGTTGGTAGGTTTGGTTTTTTGTTTGGTTGTTTGATTTGGGGGTTGTTGGTTTTGGTTTTTCCTTGTTTATTTTGTTATTTTTACTTACTGAAGAAATGCATTTTAGTTTTATAAGAAAGGAAAAATCTTGCATTCTGTTGCTTCCTCAAAGGAAGTCCACAATTTTGAATGATGCTACCTATTCAGCTATTATTGTAAGCCATGTCAAATTTTGTTATGACTTTTAGCCTCTATTGCCACAGTGTCCTCAAAAATACCTTTCTGAAGTATTTTACCTTTCTGAAGTCAGTGATTAATTAGATTTACAGATGTTGTAATTTCAAATTATTGGGGACTTGTTTTTGTCTGTGTAACTTGAGCACCAGCTGCAGAATTTGGCAAATGCAGGTCTAGTAGAGCGATGGAGTTTCCTGATATTTCAAGGATGCTTACTGAGGCAGTCAAAAATAAAGCTGTGACTGGCAGATTGAAACACAGAAAAAGGAAATTGAACCAAGCATTAGGAAGACTTACCTGGTAGGGAAATGCATCTGAGGGTGGGAATTAAGAGTAGAAAGTGCACTTGTGATAGCGATCTTGTGTCTGTGAAAAGATCCAATGGGCCTTTTCTTTTTCTCTTTTTTAAATATTAGAAAAACTCTTTGAATTTAAAGGAAATTTTGTCTGCCATGTCAGCTTGAGGTAACTGCTTAGTAACTCCCATAATAAATTCGTGGTGAAGAAGTTTTTTAATGGAAATACTGACCACAGCTCTGACTGAATAAATGGCCCATCTCTTACACTGTGACAGAGCACTGACTTGTTCCTGCAGTTTATTTTTCCACACGAAATGTTTTGCTGAACTGAATTGAGTTTTCTGCAGTTCAGTAATTAGCTTTCATTAAGTCTTTAAATATTTAATTTTTGAGATCTGAGAAGATTGTCAGGGATAACATTGTCAAGGATCTCTTAACTTAGTCAGATCTGAGCTCACTTCACTGAGCAGAAAGTAACATTTGTGCCTATTTTATGCCAGACCTGGTTGGCAGATTCCTGCTGAATATTGAACAGTCAAATAGATGGTGCTTGTTCTAAACCACACCTAGAGAACAGAGATGTGTAAATTGAAACATTCTAATGCTTACTTTAGTGACAGCTCTTGTACTGAAGCTTTCTAGGTTCTTTCCAAGCAAAAGTTCTCCAGCGAAAACACTGAAGTCCCTTAATAGTAATCTAGGGTCTCATCCTTTGCAATAAGAAAATATAAATATTTCTTTCAGTAGAAAATCCTAGAGAAGGAAAGTAGATTGAAGGATGTTCCTCTTAAAAACAAATTGCATAACAATTGCAGGTTAAAGGTATGTTTGGTTTTGGTTGGTTGGGTTTTTTTAAAATAAAGGGATGGACTGTTCTCTAAATGCTCAAAACAGCCGACATTTTAAAGATAAAAAATACTGAATTTCTGTCCCCTCAGGTTTCTACATTATTATTTTGCTCTTTGGGATGTACACTGCTGTTGGAAACACAGATTTAATTATTAAAATTTACAGTTATATTTAAGAGTTTTTTTATGAACCAGTCAAAACACATCTGAGAAAGATATTCCATTGCAGCATTAAAGTGATGCTGGTGTCCATCATCAGCACAACCATTTATTTTTTGACTAAGCTTTAGTGTCCTCTCTATAGGTGTGATTGACATAAATAAGATGTTGTTTTCAAAGAACATATGCACTAATTACTTTGAGACAACCCTTGAAAGTGCAAAACATATGGCTATTCTGCAATAGGAATTTAGAATGGATATTTTTAGAAAGGGCTTCAGGTTTCAGTATAAATGCATTTCAAATGCTGACCTTTATTTTAAAAGAAAAAAGCTGAGAAAAAGACAGCTATGTACTTTATATTGTGGAATAAAAAAGAAACACTGAAAACCAAAACTCACCCCAATCTCACTAGTATACGTATATAAATTTGCTTAATATTTTTAAAATATGAGGTTCATTGTTTCTTGTATATAACTGCTTCACAGAATCATCAAAGTTAGAAGAGACCTTCAAGGTCATCTAGTCCAACCATCAACCCAGCACCCCTAACCCTACGTGCCACACACAGTTGCCTCTTGGAAACTTCTAGAGATGATGACTCCGTCACCTCCCTGGACATTATTCCAATGCCTGACTCCTGTTTCAGTGAAGAAAATATTTATACTGTCTAATCTGAACCTCCCCTGATGCAGCTTAAGGCCATTTCCTCTTGTCCTTTTCACTGAGACATGGTAGAGGAGACTGATCCTTACCTGGCTCCAACCTCCTTTCAAGCATTTGGAGAGTTTGAGCATCCTTTTCTCCAGGCTAAACACCCCCAGCTCCCTCAGCTGCTCCTCATAGCACTTGTGCTCCAGACTCTTCTGCAATGCTGCTTCGTAGTGTTACTTTGAATATTTTCAAAAGGATTAGTGATTTACTTATTTTAGGGGAGGGGCAATGTGTTTTTGCTTGTAGTGTTTGGGTTTTTCCCTTCCCTTTCCCCCCATCAATGCTTTGAACTCTGTAGTTGCCCAGTAGCTGGTTGGCCTCTCCTATTAGCAAGTTACTGAGTAGTCATCCTAATGTGACACTGACTATGAATAAAGTGATTTTATAAGTTACAACTTGCTTACTGGAATTTCAGTTTTAAAGTGGAATCTTAATACTTTGACAAACCACCTTGTAGATTACATTTACCAGTTTGTGCTCTGATATTGTCATAGATACTGGACATGCAGAATTTGAGACTATTAATCCAATTTTCTGTATTCTGGACATTGGAATTGCAGGGAACACATGATGTTAACCTCGCTTATATTTCCCGTGGCATCTTCTCACAACACAGAATTAATAATCATGCAAGAAAACATATATTTGACTATTTAAGTTAGAAAATCATTGTATTGAGTGTGAATAGTATATTTTTGGACTCCTGGTAACTAAACATATATATTCTTTTTTTTGCTTTGAAATTATTGTGACAGTGCTGAAAAATACCTGCATAAAAAGTGACAGATGGGTGTGTGATATTTTGTAAAGGAAAATTAAGGCAGCTTTTAAAACAGATTCTCTAGCAGTGAAAAATAAAATGAGCTTCTTTTTAAGTACAAAAAAAGTTACCAAAAAAGTATCATAGCAGTCAGTCTTGTATGTATGTATAAATTGTAATTAATTATCCATCCTACGTGATGCAACTCCTCCTGTGGCTAGAGAGATACAAGATCAAATGCATTACAACAGGAAAAAAAACTTCCTAACAGCTTTCCAAGACTGGAAATGGAACTTTCTCATCATTGGCTTTTACACTAACAGCCACTCAATACCTAG